CGATTTAGACCTGCTGTTTCGAACATTAATGAAGGGAATTCCGGCTCTTTTTAGAGGACCGGCTCTTCGGTTGTTTTGTTGCTTTAATTTATTATCAACAACAATATAAAATTATGCACAAAAGGAATTACTAATGTAAAAAAATGTGGTTTTATTTATATATGTTTATATATAAATATATACGGTGGCCCCTAGAGAAAAAACACGTACAAACTCCAGAGCACATTGTTTTGGAAGTTCAGTTAACGCTAGCAGAGCTACCTAGATCACTTAAACTACACAATTGAAAGCATATGTGTATTGTTTGTGTATTTATACACAAGCATTCATATATATTCAAATAATTAAAAAAAGAAGAAGAGTTAATTTACCTGTTACTACCACACACCAAATCCGGTCGTTGGTACTTGCTGGCTTGTGTAGCCACTAGGTAACAAAAGCTCAACACTGCCCCCTAGCATCCTGGAGCACTTCTGTTGTGTTTTGGAATTTGTGCGCATTTTGGAGGTTTCATGTGCTTTGGAGTTTGTATGTGTTCTGGAGTTTGTACATGCTTTGTCTGTAGGGGCCACCGTAAATATGCTTGTATTTATTCACACCACATGAAATGTAATAAATAAATCATATAATACAAAAACCAACTAGTTACATTTCAACTTTTAACTATTTAAATGCATGAATAAACTTACTGAATCCTTTATCATCTGCAACTGAAAATAGTTGTGGATGATTACTATACCTTTCTAACGTGACCTTGTTGTCCCTGGCTCTCTCTCTCTCTCTCCCTCCCGCTCTGTTCCTGTGCTACTGTGAGTGTAACTAACGCCCCTCCCCCCTCTGCCCAGCGCAAAGCACAAGGCTGATGTGCGGAGTGAAGCGGGAAAAAAGTGCGAGAGAGAGAGAAAGAGAGAGGGTGAGAGAAAGAAGAAAAAACCACAGCTCCCAATAAGGAGCCGGCTCACGTCGTTCACGTCAAAGATCCGGCTCCAAGAGCCATTTCGTTCGTGACCGACACATCACTATTGAACATTTAAGAGTTTCCTATGCATCTTTGGTGACGTTATTTTCTCTTTCATTGCTTTTCAGTGCCTATGCCTTTCTTCTAATTTCACTGTCAGAACTGCTAAGAATTGTTAACAAAATAATTTCAGAGTGACGATGCTAGCACCCAATAGTTACAACCAGGTACAGCACGATCCATAATCCTGACTAACATATTGACTTTAGTCATCTGTAACTCATGTTACAATGGTACAATGCAAACATAACTAGCATTTGACTTCTACAGATTGATAACACCGTGGCAAGG